ATACCTTGAATAGTAAAAATCTTGAGAGCCGTATTCGCACCGAACTTATAGCTGTAAAATATGCAAATTATTCCGTATATTTTAACGTTTTGCGCCCGGTGTTGAATTTATTCTAGAATGAAAAGTGAAACTTAAGTAAAATCGAGTAAAATAATGAATATAAGATTAGCAAAATTGAGTTTAATTTCGGCGATTAGTGGTTAAAAATGCAGGATGTGTTGAATGTGAAAATATTCAGGTGAATATCCGATGAAAAACGAACATTTAAAAAATGTCTTGGAAATAAATTAGAATATTGCTGGACGTCTCGGGGAACCCACTCATCTGTTGACGTATATTAATTTACCTACCCTTAGTTATGCTAGGTCTTGTAATATGTTATGCGTTATCGCCGGCTGGAGTATCTCTAAATTCTATGTACAAATGTTGGTCTGACTAAATGATGATTAACAAATATAAATTAGAATGGTTCATCGACCATCAGATCGGCTGAATTTGTTTTTGCTGCTTTAGTAAGTCCATTATAAATCCATTATACCTACACTAGGCGTACCCCGAGATATTTTTTAACAATATTCAAACAGGTGCTTATTTTGAAAAGTATTTAAAATACTAAAAAAAGTATTTATAGATATTTTTAAATACTTTAAAATTGCTTATAAATATTTTTTTTTACCTTATGAGACTACTGATCCAATTTTCACGTTTTAGGTAAACATATTATGGTTTACATATCAATGAGTATTTATAAAATTCAAAGTTTTGATTTTCGATTGTGTACAATTTACGGTAGAAAATATACCGTTATAAATACTCAATATATTTTATGTTATTTTATGTAGTTAAAATTAAAACAGAAAATATAAAAATTAAAAATATAAAGTATTTGATTTTAAATACATATACTTTAAGAAAGTATTTAAAACACTTTATCCAAGTACTTTTTTCAAAACTATTTAAAATAAATATTTTAATACTTAAAAAATATTTGAATGATTTTACTCAAGTACTTAACCATATACTGATTCGGGGTATATAATCAATTATTGAACAGGACTGTTTGGGCAATATCAATATTGATATTGAAAATTGCAATCATAGTTTGGACCAATTATTTACACGGGAAACCTATCATTGTTTTGTATACCATTGTTATCCTACAACATATTCATTATTCGTTCATTTTTGGTTTCATAATATCATTATAATATAGGTTAAATTCTCGTTATCAAATAGTATTGTCTTATAGTTGTTGCGCATAGGTAGTGTTTAAACGCAACAAATTAAGAACGACGAATTATACTATGTAACAATTAATTTAAAAAAAAAAGAAGCCCTATGAGCATAACATCTCGATCGATGATACTCGATGTTTCCGAGTGCCTTATACTAGGCTATACCGCCTCAGTGCTGTACTTTGGAATTTTTCCATGAAGGGGGGACGTGGTCACATAATTTTCCCAACTCAAGGTTGTGGGCTACACCGATGATCCCATAAAAAAAAAATGTATTATAAAAGTTATGGTGCAAATGGAAGGGGGACGGTCAAAAATCCCTCCCCCCAAATTACACTGGTATAGGCAGGATAGTACTATGTAGAGGTACGAAGGCGTTATATAGTCATTCGTCTGAAGACTATAATTGTATACTATGACATTATAACGGCGTTTGCTTTTCACAACACCAAATTCACACAGTCGTACAACCCAATTATGTCGTTTTCGGCCACAATAATATTATGATAAAATCGCAAATCTAATAAACGCGTGTTAATAAATTATACAAATTTTGATTTATATTCAGTATGGTTATAATAAGGCATTGAATGAGCAGTACAAAGTGACTATTTTCGTCACAGTAATAACTACCCTTAATAATATATCAATTATATTATGTCACAAATATCACACGATTATTTCACCAAGGTTTTCCGTTAATACAATCAATTCTTAATAAGCATCTCAGAGACTTAAATGATTTACCAAGAACCAATGAATGCATTATAATACAGACAAGAGTGATGTGCAACCTACCCGAACAATCCACTCGGTGAGTATTCCTGGAGAAACGTGAGAGGAAGTCGAACCAGAGTTGATATTATTATAAAGTGAAGCCTAGTTCAAGATCCGTTTCACTGACATTTCGTCGCATTGAACAGCACAATAAATTACCTACCTATTTAATATATTATAATTTATAATATACCGAGTGAGGGGCGTAGTTTTCTGTACACAAGTGTGCGGATTTGCACCCCGCACAGTCGTTCTTAGTATTATACAGATTTCTTATTTTAATAAAATACAAAATATACATTTTTACAGTTATCGTTTTTAATGATCGGAGTAAACATTTTATGAGTTTCGATTATTCTCTATTGTTACGTGTGTATTTTATTTTATTGACGATTTCAAGTACTTACTTTAGTATTAACTACTTTAAATTATTTTCTGAATTTTCATTATTGATAGCATTCTAAGTTTTGACGAACAACATCAATAAGGATGTTCGGGTATTATTGTTGTACAACTGAGCCCGTTACAACTCGAATACCCTCGAATACCTCACAATGCATCTTAACTTAGTCAGACAAATCACTGAATTATAAGCAATTAATATGACAATATATTTATATTTATTAAACTATACTCGCATGTATAAATAGACACATATCTTACTTACCTACCATCTATAAGATACTTTATTTTTAATTTTATTTTTAAGTTTCTCTGACTTTAGAAACTTATAGTGATACTAGTACATACGTACTTTTTGAATACATTTTTTTGAAGTTTAAAACATTAGGAATAAAAGATAGCAATAAATATTATATTATAATGATAGGTAATAATCATAATAAATAGTTAATATTATATAAAGCATGAAATATGATTTAGGATCATCAAACTCATATAACGTCCGATTAAAAATGTCCAAAATGATATTACAATAGAATATCTGTAAAAGTAATACGATTTTTTCAACTAACGATAATTTGAAATGTTATTAATATTTTTTGTGTTTACGAGTTCAATTATAATTTTTTTAACAAAGCATCGCCTATAAACACATAGTGTAGGGGTGCATACAGCACACCAGCACAGGCAGACCGACAAAACTACAATAATAATCAAAGTTGTAAAAAATATCTCTAACATTATAAAACTTATCGTAAATATTTAATAAATAGGTAATTAAAAAAAAAAAATTCCAAGTACATATAATTATTTATAAAACATTCTACGATGTAATACTCAAATATATTTAAGAAACAAGATATCAAGTCAAATTCAATAACAGGCTACCACAACCTTCACTGTTGAAGCCTCAATTTTTAAATAATAAAAATATATTATATTTTGTGTATTAACGCGCAGTCCCCGAAATCAGTGTATATATATATAAAAGCCTATTTCGTCGCATTTTGTAGCGTTTTAGTTTTAATTCTTTTTTTTTTAAATCGTCCAAACGGTGCTCGTCTCGGAGTCTGCGTGGAGAGTGGTCGGCCGTCAAACGTTGAAGCTGAAACAATGTACCTAATGTACAATGACAACTCGGCGATCGAAATTTCGGCCGAATAACGAAAAGTCGCTGATATTATGATCATGTCAACGAAACGAGCGACAGTTGTAGTTGTAATCGTAAGCAACAAGTAGCTGCTGCAGGTGGCGGATCGGCAGCGTAACCTCCCGAAAACATCAACGGCAAAATATCCGCGATTTGACGTACAACTCGTGTGTATATATTATGATACGTCATCGAGATAATGTTATTATTAGAATATTGACACGCGTCTGTCGTTTCGTATAATACCCTATACCTACCTATGTATAATACACAATGTATCGATCGATCTCCACACATTATAACGATACCTTGGTTTGACATGACGTAAACTAACACCGTAGTACGCCCGATAGCTATATACGTCTCATATATAATAGCTACGGTAGTTGAAGGTGTTATCGCGGTACCGCTCGCGATTTATGTCCCGACTGCGTGAAATGGCTTCGATTAAAAGTCCACTGCGACGAGTGACGAAAAAAAACAACCAAAAAATCCTGTAGTCTTTATTATTTTCGTTCGCTTTTCCGAGTAATATATACTTTTATCCCTATCCAATCGTTTTGTCTGAAGATATGTATAGTTCTCGTCGTAAGGTCCCGTATCGAATTATTTCAATATCAGGTATATTGAAATATTATGTCATCATAATTGAATCATAACAAAATCAATAAATGGTGCGGTTATATGGTCTAGGTCAGATTAGGTTAGGTTAGGCTAATAAATAAATCTGTCGAAGCTTGTCGCATTTCAGTACAATATATATTATATGTTACCATACGCCCGTGACTTGTTTGTTTTCATAATTACTACATACACTGTACAGCAGTCATCCTTTACCTTATGAAAATAAAATATCACAAGTGTCTCGGGCACTCGATGTAATACTGTATATTATTATTATGTACCCTACAGTTTTGGGTTTGTTTAACATAATAAAATACACGAGTATTCAGTCGGCTAGCCTAGTGGCCAGTAAGGCTGTAGAGGGCTATAATAATTATATAGCGCCTCCGAGATAAATTTTAATTATGTCATAAATATCGGTTTCAGTAAAAGTACAGAGAGTACTCAATAATTAGTAAATAGCGTATTGTAGTGGGTTGTATATTATGTGCAATAAATAAATCTGTTAATGCTTTTCGTATTTCAATATAATATACAGGTTGCCATAAACTTGATTGTTTTTATAATCCTTATATATATAAAAGAACAGGCCTTTTTTATGTACCAATTTTGTGACGACGCTATTTAACTTTTTTCCGATTTTTTTTCACAAAGTTGTTCCAAATACCTTCGTGAGTGTCACCACGTCGCCCGATTTTCAAAATTTTGATTTTAAAGGGTTGAAATTGGCATAGATAATAATAAATAATAAATAATAAACAAACTACAACATCACAGATTTAATGGAATATGTTAATAACAACAAAACTATGATGACTTCAGAACAAAATAATGTGTTTAATCATGTCATTAATTGTGTTGAGGAGTCAACAGGTAATATTTTCTTTTTGGATGCTCCTGGGGCACTGGAAAAAACATTTATTATTAATTTGCTGTTAGCAAAAATCCGATCATCCGGTAAAATTGCTATAGGTGTGGCATCATCGGGAATAGCATCAACGTTAATCCAAGGTGGTAAGACTGCACATTCAATGTTCAAGCTACCAATAGACTTAAACATTACCGATACCCCAGTTTGTAATAAAAAAAAAAATTCAACATTAGCCAAAGTATTAACCGATTGTGTACTAATTGTGTGGGATGAGCGCACAATGGCTCATAAATCGGGCGTAGAGGCTTTAGATAGAACATTACGGGATATTGGGTCATCAGATAAAACTATGGGAGGCATCACATTAGTATTTGCGGGAGATTTTAGACAAACATTACCGGTTGTTCCACGGGCCACGGGGAACACGATCTGATCAAATAAATGCGAGCCTAAAATCAAAATAATCATTTTCTAGAGTTGAAAGACCTGACCATTTGTACGTTTATGCACCACAAAATAAAACTCTAAATGTAGTATACCAAGAGGTTTTGACTTAAGCCATATTAAAATTAAGCAACTACGTATCATTTGTAAATATTCATAAAAAAAGTTATATATAATTATAGAAACATTTTTTAATAACAATATGTGTATAGAATCGTTAGAATCATTAATATCATTTGTAACTACTAGGTACTATTATTATTTTTGTTATATTTATAATTCTTTAAAACACAACAATTTGTGTTGATTTAAGAATTTAATTTTGATAAAACAAAAACTACACACGGGCGAAGCCGGGTAATTCAGCAAATACATATATTATAGCAAATACACAGCCGCGGCAGTCGTTTACCTAATAAAAATAAATTATAACATTCTCTGGAACACGATGTAATATTGTATATTATTATTATGTGCCTAATAGCTTTGGGTGTTTGTTTATATTTGAATGAAAACATATATGAGTATATGCTCACGCCAGTGAGACTACTGCGGACCTATCACTATCGATTGAATATGGATTCTTTTTTTTAGCATTCAACTATCTAAATTGTAACGCCGAAATGGCTTTACAAAATGTAACTGTTTAAATATGGCTATCATCTCGTACGTCAGCCGTTAATATGCATTTAAAATATTTCAGTCTACATAGGTACTGTTATTGTATAGGTTTTCGTGCATAAATCGTTATTATAGCTCAGCTGTATTTAAAAACCGTGTTAGAACACGATATCGTAATAATACTTGCACAAAATAATTACTCTAGAAGATTTCACAATTATTACGAAATTAAGTTCCTACCAATATCGTATCGTCGATTTTTACAATTTTAACCTAACCGACTTCTAAGTGCATTTTGATAAATACAAATATGCAATAGGTGCGATCAAAATATTTTTATGAATTTTTTCAGTTTAATCGACTACCTCAAGTTCTATTGCTAGACATTTATTATAGCCCTCCCGTTCAAAATTCCCGGCCACGAAACCAGAGACTTGGTTTTACCCACCCACTCATCGAAATTTATCAAATATTCTTCTCCAATTATTTCCAATGTGTAATGGCCACACAAAGTAATAGGATTAGGTACATCGTATACCGGGATAACCCATTCGTACCAGTTAACGGACAATCACCCCCCCCCCCCCACAAAATCTCTAAAAGTACCTTGGGCACTGCACAAAACTATACACAACCCTAACATTGAATACGTACCAACGGCATACGTTGCATATGCCACAGATAATTAAATTCGTTCTAACGATGATGCATATTATAAATATAGATACTTCATATTAATACCGTTGTAGGTATATAAACGATTCTAATTATTAATGCAAGTGTATTCCGACCATCAAAGGAAAACCCCCATCGATACGATATTATGTTCCAGTGTGGACTGGTACGACGATGAAGAAAAATCCATTCATATTATTATTATTATTATTATTATGTTCACGATGATTGCATGTGGATAGGACTGAAGTATATGTTATTATAATATCGCTTCCCTTCAGTGATCCGGTTAGTGGTTACAACCACCACTCCCCCTCCCGACGCCCGGCGAGTATGATTATACCATAAACCTATGTGGTAACTGCAGCTCTATATAGGTATTTCGCTAAAGTATACGCAAAAGTACAGTGGAAATATATAATTTATTTTGTTACTGAACCGAAGGTATTAATAATAATTATACGGTCATTTTGAATTCCATACGGAAGACGGATTTCAAATTAAATAGTACGTATTATATTATGTGTATATTTCTAAACTCTATTATGATGTATTATATTATACAAAACGATGCTTTTTTTTTTTAATTCATACCCTGGTTCTATACGGATGATGGGGGTGGCAACCACGATTTCCCGTTCACCTGAGTTGAAAAACGGCAAAACGGGGTGGTCCATGCAGAATATTACAAAATAATATCATAGAATATTGTGTTGCTGTGAGGAAAACAAACAATTCCATTGAACCGACATGTCCATAATGATAATTAGTATTAGCGTCAAAGCTTGGTGCACGTCACCTTGTATTATTTAATAAAAAAAAAACATTTTTTTTTTTGTCAATATTTATTTTTAAATGTTATTGGAGTTGCATGGTACCAGAGATATTATTTTTTCCCTTCTAGGTAAATTGAAGAATCTCATAGATATGTTTTTGTGAATAGTGCGCACTGAAAATATATCTATTGTAACTTTGTTACATTTTGTTAGGAATTACATTTTTTTTTTCATTGTTGTTTTGCATTTCTGTGGCGATAAACAAAGCGTTATGAAAATCGATCACGCGAAAATCATAAAAAAATCATGAACGCAGTCCAAACACATATCTATGTTAAAAAAATAAAACAGACACATTATATTATCAATATCATCGAGACCAGCTGCAGTCACGTAGTTATTCGTTTCGCATTTTATTCACATATCTACGATATTTTAGTGAAATATATAATTTATATGATGATTAGTTTAAATTTCGGTGTTTCGCATCGACGCGTTGGACCTAAGTCGGACCAGTAAATAGCTGGTAACAGAATTTACAACCATTTTGTATACTAACAACATCCTTCTTCCAAGAATTTATCTTGGTCCTCGGGCCCGAAATTTTAACTGAAAATGTGTTTGGCTTTTTCAGACGCCGATGTTATCAAGAGACATCGTATTTATTATTATTTCCCGTGCGGACTCGTAAAATGAGAAAATCGAATTTTCCTTTTTCTCCTCCCCCAGAGACTATAAGACACACGGTCATATTCGATGTAAAACGACCCCGTTTTTTATAGGTTTTCACGGTGCCCACATTTGATTGGATTAATTTGTTAAAACGTATCATATACGGTACAATATTATAATAGAATTATCACTGAGCTAAACACAAATATTGGCAGTGATTTTGGTAATGGCCGTTGCAATTATTACTATTGGACGAATACAATATTCTCATAAGAAAAAAATTGTTTTCCCACAAGTGTAAACATGTAATAACACATATGCCTATCAGAGTGTCATCTACAATACATATATTCACAATATTATTATATTGTAATTATTTACAACCAAGTACGTGGTAAACGCATAAATCGTGTAGTTTGGTAAATGGCAATGGTCATCGGTTAAGGGGGGGGGGGTCGCAGGAGGACTCAGTCCCTCTACCTCTGATGGCGGTTTAAAAGCGTCCCCTTTAACAAATTAGAATTTTATAAATTAGACATTATACATACAATTATGTGTTAAAACTCCGGTTAAAACTATATTATGGAGAAATAAGTCCCCCTTGGAATTTTTTCCCACTTTAAACTCTGGTAATAGATTGTAATTATTATTATTGAAGTTTTGTATACATTGTTAACATTTGATATGTGTTGTTATTGTTTTGTACAACTTTTCGCTATTATGGTAAGCAACAGAATACTTTCTTCTAGTCAAATGTGATTATGCTATCAAAATCCAGCGCACATAAATGTATTACAAAATAATGCATTTGAACGATAAGAAAACTTTCGAGTTCCGTATAAAATTAAGTTAAATTTAAATTATTAAATCGACTCGAAAATGGGTTTGAGATTGTTCTCGTATTTGTCTGTCATCGTACCAAGACACGCTTCAATTGTGGCGAGTAAAACAATGAGAACGGGGAGGAAACGATTACAAAAAGTACCTAAAAGGTTTATACCTAAATTTGTTTGGTATAAAGTTTGCCTCGGTTCTTCTATAGCTATAGATGTGACGTTATAATTTCACGAGCTACGGTGAAATAAAAAAAAAAATCGTTATTTTCAGTTTATTATATACACAAATATTAATTTAATGTATTTTAAAAGCTATTAGCGCGATTGTTTTCGAGTATAATAAATATGAACTCTTAACAAAGACGTTACGCTACAGCTGAAGACGACTTACTTACTTACTTACTTACTTTCTATTGTGGATTAGAAACATCATAAAATATACCTACCTACAGTTCAAAGGCGAGCGTTTAAATGAAAACGTAACAATAAAAATAAACGAAATCGACTGTAATACTTAACCATTTTAGTACCTATCTACCTACCATCTCAAAGGGATATTATATTGTTATACGCGGTAGGTAAATCATTTTCCATTAGTTAATTGTTTCCATGATAAACGACTGGATTAGAACGTACAGCAAACTCAATTAAAATCTGCAAACACAATAATATAATACATATCCAGCAGCGACTACATCAAATATATACGCAATATAATATATTATATTATATCTTCGATGATATAAGGTTTTAGGCCTTTACGGGTACGTTGCCTATTTAATAATTTTGGTTCAAGTACCACTTTTTTTTTTTATTATCGACTTTCAGCATCGGCAACTATATAGTCATTAGTATTTCTTTGGGGCGTTATGGTTGGAAGGGGTACACGTGTATGCTGGGCTAGGATTCGTCACTAAAAAGCCGTGTGGTCACCCATCCGGAAACTAGCGGCCGACGCTTGACCTCAGAATACGTTAGTGACCAACAGTCACCCTTTCCCCTCTAAAAATTAAAATACAAATATTTATATAATAATCACTGAAGTTGTGTATTTATAATCGGTTATTAATGAGTTGCAAATTTTTCGTTCCATTGAAGTTTTAAAAAATTACATTCTCATAAACTTAGTAATGCACTATTTTGTTAATGTTAATCGTCAACAATCTATTATAAAAATAACAACTGAACGGGCAAGTATAACTCGTCGTTATACTGTGATATTTTGCTCACCAAACTAAATTTATCATCAAATCTAGACTATCAATTTCGCATACAAGTTTGGCCGACTGATATTTAATGTTCGTATCGCAGTTGTTGACTTTCTTTTTTTGTTTATATATCGTGTTTACATATCCCTGCACAGCAGCTCCCCGGAAAGCGATTTTCTAACTAGAAAGTACGCATGACAA